GTCACCGTGAAGAATTTTACGATCGCTGACATTTTAAAACTTGGGTGATTTGTTGCTGTCTTCCAGGAGTACTTAGTGAAAGAGGGATTAAATTTCTGCGTGTTAAATTTAATAAAAGTCTGAAATGATTTGGTGCAAGTGCAGCCTTGGAAAAAAGCTAAAGCCTATTTCTCCCAACAACTAAAAATGTACTAATGGTCATGCTCTGGTTCCAACGTCTAAGCAACTGCCATTTTATTTCCAATGCAAGCCAATGTTCTCAAATTTGGTTTTGAGCCAATGTTAAAGCTCCTTCCGTCTTCTTCTGCTTTAAATTTGGTTTTGAGCATTCTCGGCTCTGGTCGAAGACAAACAAGAACACGTGGCTCTTTCTTAGATTGGCAAGTGTGGTAAAGAGGAACAGAAAAATGCAACATATATATATATATATATCTATATATATAAGGCAAGGACATGGTTGGATAATAAAAGGAAAAAAAAACTAACTTTTTTTTTTTGTTTTTTGGATTATATTAATGTATGGATAATCCCTTTCTTGGCTATGGCCGAAGCTGGACAAATAAGAACACGTGGCTCTTCCTTTAGATAGGTAAGTGTTGTAAGAGAAACATAAAAAAAAGCAACATCTTCCCAAAAAAATATATACACACGCACACAAGGACATGGCTTTGATAATAATATGTTAGGTTAATATTTTTTTGGAGAAAAATATAAAAAGAATTAACTCTTTTTCATTTTTTTCAGATTCTATTGTTGATATGAACAATCACTTTTTTTACTATGGCGAAGCAGGACATATAAGAATGCGTGACTCTTCCTTAGATAGACAAGTATTGCAAGAGAAATCTTCCCCAAAATATGCATATATATATATATATATATATATATATATATATATATATATATGATGACTTGACAATAATCTCTTAGGTTAATATTTTTTCTGGAGAAAAAATAAAATGGATTAACTCTTTTTGGGTTTTTCTTTTTTGGATTATATTGTTCATACGGATAATGACTTTCTTGCCTGCGTATAAGGTTTTCCCTTCGTTTCAATTTACTTCGCAGCAATGCTCTGAACATGTCAGCCAACTGCCCTGCCATACTGCATTATTTGCCGATTGCCAATGATAGTCCATCCTTCAGGCAACTTGAGATCTCACTAAACTCAGTACTTATTGGTCTCCGCAAACCCGACGTAATTTTTTTCAGGAATAAATTCAGAAACTTCCCTTGAGTTTGTGATAATTTCACTTAGCACCTTTAAACTTTAAAAATCACTTGCCTTCACTTGCATAACACTCAATTGTAGATAGAGAATATAATTTCATTTCAGTGTTTTGCCCTTCTCTTGTGAACCATTTTGTTGACATAACAAAACTAGTTAATCTCTTAACTTTTGAACACTTGGCCAATGTGATTTTTTAATTAGGAATTGCAAAGTGTTAACAAGGTTGAAAGACCTATTAATAATTTTTGCGTCATTAGTCTGCACAAAAAATCTACTAAAAATTTGAAAATCTAAGTAATTTGGAAAATTCACAAAAGTTGCCTAAGAATTGTACAATGAAAATAATAGCATTTTTCACCTTCAAAACACCTCAAATATGTTTTTAAATTTATAGTTAAGAATTTATCTTATTCGAGTTTTCAAGCCATTGATCTGGTCAAAGAATTATAAAATTCAAAAAAAATTGTACACAATTCTTAAATCCTTAATTTCATATAATTTGCGATCTTTGAGAAAACCTCAAATGCATTTTCGAACATAAATATTTTGCCTTTTTTATGATTTACAAGCCATCACTCTAGACAAGGAATTTAGAAATTTTGTTAAAAAATTTTAAATTTTGAAAAGCTCCTCAAATTAACCAAAAGCATTTTATAATAAAGGAACAATCTTTTTTGACTTGAAAACACTTTGAATATATTATTAAAATAAATTTTTGGTACATTAAAATATCTAAGATTATACTGTATCAATCAAAATTTACACATTTGTACCGTTTGTTTTATTTTTAGCTTTTTATTACATGCTTTCAATTTTGAAAGAAAAAAAAAAAAAGTAAGACAACAAAGGGCACATTTGGAATGAAAATAACTCCGCTATCCAAAATTTGAGTTTTTAAATATTATGTTTTGTAAAAGGTTGTCAATGTTACAAAAAGTTAAAAATAGGGAAGACAAATGATTTTTTTTTTTTTAAATTAAAGGGTGCTAAGTGAAAATTTTAGAAACATCAAGGGAGGTTTGTGCAATTATCCCTTTTCTAATGCATAAAAAACACAACGAAGATAAGGTAGCACTTTGATTCTCATCCGATGCCATTCAAAGGGGATGATCTATCAAAACATAAATTAGAAAACTTATGAACATGATTGTCTTTTTCTTCAGAGTTTGATTGCACATGAATTTCCAAGTAAACTTGGAACATTGATCTATTAGGTACCATAATTTATCATCGAATTATCCATTTGGTATGTGAGGTCTCAAGTCTTCAGCTGCAATTGTGCATCACTAGTCAAACAAATTGGCATTAGTACTCGCAGTTCATGGGGTGCCCTGAGGAGAGCTCTTACAGCACAAAAGACTCAACAACATTAACTGCAGTACAGCAAATCACTTCCCAAACTACCAATCTTGCAGCCTCTATACAGGTGGATCTATCTACCTCAAATATATAATGAAACAAAAGTAGTTAGAGAGTCAGTTTCCTCCGAAACTAAATGAACCATTGCTCTAGGGGCAAATTGCACATTCACTAAAACCTCTCGTGGCTTCAGAGAACTCACATCACCATCATTTAAACAAGAGGATAAATTAAAGATAGACAGAGGCAAGAGAGATCACTTGCACCAACCATCTTTGCACTCAACCTGCAAGAAAAAAGATAAATGCATGAAGTAGAAGGATTGTGAATAGCTCAAAAAGAAAGAATGTGAATAAAACAACAGTTTCGACTCTGGAGTTTCTCTGCAATACAAATAAAAAAACCAGGCAAACAAAGAGAAGGGCTTGACAAGAAATCACGAAAGAACAAGAAGACAAGCTTTGCACAATGCTTCATTAACAAATCACAGTTAGATCTCGGATCTGTCACTGTTCGTACTAGCCACACTTTAAAATCAACAAGGTTATTTCCTAATCAACCATCCAAACTCGAAAGCTAAAATACCTTCACCCCATTTTGATAGTTCTGTTTTCTTTTTTCGTTTGTTCCAAATTATAATCCACTCTCTATTTGAGGGATATAATTATCTTTTAATTTCTCTAAAATATCCTTATTCAATGTAGGTTGTTATTAGTATAAACTACCTAATTTAATATAGATTGTTATTAGATATAACCTACTCCATTTAATGTAAAATGAGAATTGATTCTTTCTTGATCATTAATTCAAGGGAAAATGACATGTTTCATCCCTCACATTTCACAAAAATATTCTTTTCGTCCTTTACTTTTGATATGAAACAATTTCGTCCCTGACATTTAAAAATTAAAGCTATTACATCCCTGAACCTAATTTTCAATCTGAATCAAACCATCCAATAACCCAGTAATAAATTTCAGAGATAGAATTGATAGGTCATTCGGTCAATTTCATCATATTCACGTGACATTTATCAAACCAAAAATATAAAAATTATAACATAAAGACCATTATTTGTCTTGGAATAATAGGATTTTTTTTGGGTAAATCTTTTCGTGCACCATTAGTATATTCGCTTGCGAGTCTAGATGCGTATCATAAATACACAATTTGGTGTTTAAATTTAAATTGAAATGATATGGTAGGTACATAAAACCCTCACTGTATACAATGACAATATAGGAAAGATTAATCTTTCTTTTATATGTTACAATGACAATATAGGTTCATTAAATTTCACATGAATATCACTTTGAGGTAACCAAGAGATCTACCAATTACACCTCTAAAATTTGTAATCAGGTTAGATAGGTGATTTGATTCATATTGAAAATTAGGTTCAGGTTATATGAAACCCGCCTCGACCGCTTTCGGAGCCCTGGTACTCTCAATCGGAGCTTCGTTCTCAACCAAGTGATACTAACCCGCCTCTGCTCCATGGGTCATGCATCCCATTGGAAAATATGATATTACTGCCAAATCTTTTCGGCACCAGGTTAATCCTCTGTACCAAAGAACATGATGAGTGAGAAAATGCTCGAATTTTTTTTTTTGTAAAAAAAAAAAAACTTGAAGATTTCTTAGTTCTTACCAGCAGCAAGAATTTTTTAACAGAACATCAATCATTCACTTGCTTAAGTAATGGGACAAAGTTATTATCTAGTGATGACTCACCATGCCACCGAATTCAGTGGTGATCCAATGTTCCCGAGGCCATACTCCAAATTGTTTGTTGCAATCATCAGCAAACTCCTTGTAGCTGTAGGGAGATGGGGGAAACATGCTACAAAGGGGATTAAAAGGTTGATTTTTCCTAGGATGACAATTGATACGTTCCCAAACAACAAAAGACATTCTTAATTTCTTTTTAAAGCTAAGATCATTAATTACTAGCAAGTAGGTTGTGTCTCTATGTGCTTTTCTTTTTTTTTTAATACAATAAAGGTTTAAATAAGTTTGGATTCGATTATCACCGCGAATCAGACATGTACCGAGATCATTGGTCGCTTATAGTAATGCTTATAAATTATCCACCAACACAATTTTTGTATCCGCAGTGAATTTCAAATATCGACAGTAAGATTCGAATACATAATCTTATACGAGTAAGTAAAGGTCTCTACAATTGCCATTATGGAGTCTGATTTGTGACCTAGATATGGTCATGCTAAATTAGTTCGACCTCAACTATTCGTATAAACATTTAAAAGAAAATATTCTTTTCAAAATTCACAGCTTGGATTTAAGCCACGTTTAAATCACCTTTATTTGGGCATGAATTGTTCTCTATTATTGGCAAATCACCAGCAATTAATGATACTGGATTGGAGTTACTACCCTCACAATTATAAAAACAAGTTCAATTCATTCCAAAAATTAAAAAAAAAAAAAAAAAGTTCAATTGATTCTGGTGCCTCATTCTAATTCAAGAACATCCAGTTAACGTTGTATGGTCCTTCTGCCCAACAAATCACTCCTTTGGAGTATTTCTTTTGAGCCAAACATCTTTAGGATGAAGTGCATCTCTCCAATAACCAAAATTTAGACATGACAATATGTTGCTTTATCCCCAGAACTCTATATCTAGTCTTGCTTGCTGTCTGCCTAATACTCCTGTAACCACTTTTGGATAATCTCCACTTCTTGCCTCCTTTGGTCGATGAGCCACTCTGGATCTTTGTTTGTTGCAGACCTAAAATCAACATGGTGTGCTCCTGATTTCAAGATACAATGGCAACAGTCAAGCGATCAGTCATGGCTAGAAGTTAGAACCCTTTAAGTAACTGGTTCTTGATTTACCTTTCTCAGTTTCTAATGCCACAATGCTGGATGATATGTTCTTCAGCACACTGAAAAAGTAATCGCAATCAAATTGCATTCAGCAGATGTCCTCTGTACTAATATTTACAACAAGATGGCAAAGGAGTCGTTGAACAGTTTGTCTTACACATTTGAGAGTTTAAAATATCAATTTACCGTGAACAAAAAAACAGTAAGGTGCTTTGTCTATTTGATTATTCTCAGGATGTAGAATTCATAAAATTTCCAGACACTGGGCAGTAAACCAAGTGATACTAACCCGCCTCTGCTCCATGGATCTTGCATCCCATTGGAAAATATGATATTACTGCCAAATCTTTTCAGCACCAGGTTAATCCTCTGTACCAAAGAACATGATGAATGAGAAAATTTTCGATTTTAAAAAAAACAAAAAAAAATGAAGATTTCTTAGTTCTTACCAGCAGCAAGAATTTTTTAACAGAACATCAATCATTCACTTGCACAAGTAATAGGACAAAGTTATTATCTAGTGATGACTCACCAAGCCACCGAATTCAGTGGTGATCCAATGTTCCCGAGGCCATACTCCAAATTGTCTGTTGCAATCATCGGCAAACTGTAGGGAGATGGGGGAAACATGCTTCCATTGGAGCATGTCATTGGCATAACCATTTCTGTAAGTTTTTCATGAGTTACTTCAAACTACAAGAACGCTCCAGTAGGTTAGCATTGTATTTTGTCTATTGCCTTAATTTGTAACAAACCCTCAACCTTTACTCACACGCCCACCTCTACCCTGGCGTGAGCTGGTCAAAGAGATGGCAGCAACAAAAATATGCTGCAAAAGGTTAAATTTTTGGATTGATAAGCATCTGACTGGAATTGTATTGTGAGCAGAAATTTTGATCAAGAGTTTCAGCAGGCAAGCTCCCTTCTCCACACAAATACAAATATACCACTCCAAATTAAAGCAGGCTGAGACTGTTGAAGGTAAACGGCAAGATGAAAGTCAGCAGAGGAAGTTTAGGTTAATGGAGGATAATGCCAACGAAATACAAATGCTCATTTAACTCAGGATCTACCGAGTCACATTTTCTTGGCCATTTCCATTTAGATACCTGATACTCGATTAGTATATGGAGATAAGTTGGAAAGCAAAGAGCTGGAGGAAACACCAATCTAGTGAGAGGAGTCATATTTGGTTTTGATCACTTATTGTGTTGCTTAGACACCCATGACAACTCTCATCCACTAAAAATGCACAGAAAACTACCTCTGATAGCCATGTAAGCATGTAATAGACAAATCCCTTAATTTCTTATAGTTCAAAGCAGTCAAGTCGTTCAACGAAATCAAGCGAGAGTGACAGACAAGAATAAGGAGAAGCTTATAAAAGGTTTGATTAACCTGCAAGTGCACCATGAAGGAAACATAAATGGAAGCTTCTCGTTGCAACCACTTTCAAGAATTGAGGTAGGCTTTACCTTTGGATAATCAAATTTATGATACCAACAATCATGGCATCAAAACTCAAAAGTTTTCTTGTGTTTTATTTGGTTTACCACACTGGACCAATTTACTTTCTGGTAGATTAAAATCTAACCCACAAGGGGAAAGGACAATCAATTGCAACAGGTGAATCACTTTCCTGTAATTGACTGAATGTGCTCAATATCTATTGCATCACAACCTAAGGTCCCAATATCATCTTGAGATTTAGTGAGGCTTCCAATCTTTTCCTTCATGGTATTAGAGCTGGTCAATCAAGCATCAAACTAACTTTTGTAAACCAGACTTCCTCTGACTTCTTTTTCCTAAATTTCATATATTATATAACTGCCCCATTAATGAAGTACCTCAACAAAGAAACTTAGTTACATCTTCACTATTATACAGCTTTCAACAGCTAACAACAAACTTTCAATTCTCCATCAAGCTTAAACATGAAGATTTTATCCTGAATAAAAAAAGAGACAAACAGAAAGAACTCTAGTATGTCACGGCATTCTTTTCAAAAGAGAAGCAGCATAATTATATCTATTTCCCTAATCACTCGAGCCATGTAGAAAATCTATTTCTCATGCAGAAAAATAGGATCTTTACCTGCAACTAATGCTGAAAAAAATACTAAACCCCACAAATCCAAACTGATCTTATACTCTGGAATAAAAAGCGTAAAGCAAGACACAAAAGGGTGCATTCCATTCAAAGTATGACCTTAGCAACTGGATTTGCATGTGATTGATAATAGTTTTGAGCTCCAGAGTCACGATACATAAATATGCCACTTTACAAACCTGTTTGCTTCCTGCATAAACCATGCAACTACATCCTAACTATTGCATGTAAAGGCCCTGCATAGTGACTCCTCAAGATAGTTGCATGTGCACCAAAAGCATGGGGCTATGCCACTATGGTACCAAAAGTAAGGAGCCCCCACGTTTTTGGTGCACATGGCAGCCATCTGGGTGGGACTCCTAAGTAAGAATCTCCCCTATTGCATAAGGCAAGATATGGTCAGGCTGCTCAATTCCGGAATGAGTGTGGATTTTTTGCTAACGCAAGCAGAGAAGGGATGCATCTGCATTCTGCCAATGTAGATGGATACTGCTTGGAAGCAGCCAGAAAACATCGTATAGGGCAATATAAAAACCATGCACCTAACTCCTAGATTCCCACGCAAAAGCCTAGTACACCGTCACGACCAACCACCCAACACCCCCCCCCCCCCCCCCCAACACACAAAAACAAAAAAAAAGTTTTGCTTTGTTTTTTTTGTTTTGGTTTTTGGTCTGGGGTGGTTGGGGCCTTGGGGGGGGGGGGGGGTTGGGGTTGGGGTTGGAATGGGCATGAACTGCACCGACATTACATTATGAACGCTCAACGAGGGTAAACTGTTCTTGCAAATATCGATCTCAACCCACAAAAAATATTGCGGGCATTAAGAAATCTAGAACAAATTTTAAAGCCCTCTAATTTTCAGCCCAGATAAACATGCAAGATTTCCATTCAATTCGAATAAACACAAGACTATCCCGAATAAAGACAAAAAGAAAATCAGAAGCGATCTAAGGTGTCCCAATTCCACAGTTCTTCAGATATTAAAAAAATGTGACAAATGCTAGCTCAAATCCACAAAATATCAAATTTGGTCATGAAATCATACAGGCGTGACGAACAAAAAGGAAAAATTATTCCAAAGCTTGAAACTTCGACCAATAAATAGCATACCAGGAGCAATCTTGAGAAGGGAAGGAGGAGGGGCGCAATCACAAATACAAGGACTGCAAGAATTCAACGATGCAGTTTTCAAGCTGAGACTTTTCTTGAATTTCCAGTAAATTGCAGGCCCAGATACACAGAGAGCTGAAACCACTGCAAATACAACCAAACAGCACCTTCCACAGTTCCCAGATCGCCTTGACATCTTCCTAATTGCCAATTGCAAAGGAGCAGTAGTAACTAATTTGAGTGGGAAGGATTATGAATATTGGATCTACTGCTTTGTTTTGATTTGAGGTGGAAATGGGAAGTGGAGCTGCTGCCTTTCTGGCACACCTCCATCAATGTTTTCAGAACCGGACCGGACTGGCCGGTTCAACCGGTTGGACCGCGAACCGGCCATGTCACCGGTCCGGTCTAATGCTAAAGCCGGAAGTTCATGGAAAACCGTTGAAACCCGGATGAATCGGATGAACCGTGCGAACCGTTAAGTACCGTGAACCGGCGATTTTTTAAATTTTTCAACAAAATATCAAGAATGGTGTAGCTAAGATTTGAGCCTTGGTCTCCAAGTTTAAATATGACAATCTTACCGCTAGACTGTAATTAAGTTTGTTGAGAATTCTACTTGACTAAAAAATATATTAAAACATCAAGTTATTCTCTTATATTTTTTTTTTCAATGTTTTCTTCTTAACCATTTTTAGCCCAAATATCCACAACAAGATTTTGTCAAGTCTTCACCATTATTATCAGGTTATTATCTTTAGCAGATTGTAAACAAGTTGAAAATTTCAACTTTTCTTGTTTTCCAACATTTTAGTAAGTTTAATTTTTTTCTTTTCAAGGTTTTTTTTCTATATTATTATCTTTAGTTGATTTTTTGCATTTTCTTCTTTTTCCCCTCAATTTTCATATGTTTCCCTCATTTTTGTTTTATTTTTATTCGATTAATTAAGAATGAAATTTTTTCAAAAGTAGTGCACATCCGTGTAGGAATTTGGTAGGAATTACAAATAATAACATTGGGCTGGTCAAAAATATGGTAGTTGGCACATAATCGAAGCTATTGATAATTGAATTTAAAATAATTAATGGTATAGGATCATTGAATTTAATATAACATGTTAATTAGTAATGTTTAATAGCAATTAATTTTTTATGTGTTTAACTGTATATTTGTTTTTCAAAAATTTTTAGTTTTTTTTAGTTTGAGCAATTAGATTTATATTTTTATAATAAAATTTTAACTTTTTCAACTTAAGTTGATGACATTGTGAAGATGGTGTGGTTGCTTATCATGCCACTGATAAAAGTTTGCTATTCAAATAGTTTGTCTTAACTTGAACTCTTTTATGAATTTTTTTAAGGGTTGTAAAAGAATTTCAATATTTAATTTATTTATTATTTGTGTTTTTATTTATGATAATTGGTGAACATTTGGATTGTATCTATTTATGTTTATAATGAATTTATGAAAACTTGTGGTGAATTATGATATTTTAATTATATTTATCATTCCATGTTTTGTGTATAACTTTTAGAAAATTTATTATTATCATAACTTAAATTAAGTTATGTTGGTAAAGTTCAAGTGTAGAATGAAACCTGCTTAGTACTTAACACTTAAAAAAAAAAAAAAAAAAAAAACCTTTGAACCGGTCGGTTGGACCGGTCGAACCGCGAACCGCCACCTCTCCGGTTCACTGACCGGTCCGAGTTTAAAAACATTGAATAAATGTAGTCGTCAACACAATAACATTTAAAAACACAATAATTTCTTTCACTAGCTGACAGTTACGCAAAAACTTGTGCGAGTATCTACATATATATATATATATATATATATATATATATATATATATATATATATGTATTTTCATAGTGTGTAAAGTGCAGCTGGCAATTGTATAGTCCCCTAATCTGTGACAAAATTGTCATAAAAGTGCGTGATGGGGATATTTTCACACTGGAAAAAGAAAGGTCTACATTGGTGGCAGGGTTGACTATGTTGACCGATGTAATGCTGACACGTTTTTCTACAGGGAAATTGGTTGCAACCCAACATTTTCTACTAGTATCTTGAACCTGGAACAGGTTTCAACAAGTCGGGAGAATTAAGGAAAGGAACTTGGTAGCAAACGAACATTTTCCTATTAATATCTTGAACTTGGAAGTGATTTGAACAGCGAATTGTGTGAATTAAAAGGAGGGAGACAGTGATATTAGATCATTTTGCAGATATAAACTGAAGGAAGTTTATTGTCATTGTAACTTGTAAGTCCATGACTTTACATGACCTCCAGCAGGATAACAAAACAGGCCTAGCAGTTTGATAGATTTCTTGGACAGGACTGGAGCTATAATTGGTGGTGGTGGTTGTGTGGAAAAGCAAAGTGGTGGTACAAGTGGGGTAGGATCTGTTAGAGAAAAGAAACCATTTTATTTCTTAACTTGAGTGCACTACCGGGGAACCAGAAGTTGGCATTGTTATCCAAAGTGAGCATAGAGTAAAATCAATAGTTTTGGGGGGAAGGGAGGGGGGAGGGGGGGCCGAGTGGTGATAGTGAGAGTCAACGTGATAGTGATTATAGTGGTGACAAATTTGACGACAATGATGAATATGGAAACGATGATGAACTATTTGACGAATTCATTGATAAGGATACTAGTCAAAATGATGGTGGGCATAAAGAGGAGCTCAATTTGGGGAAAGATAATGAAGATGATGAGGATGAGGGTTACTTGAATATGCTTGATGATGATGACTTGAGTGAGGAGCTGCAAAGAAATTTTGGCTCCTCAGACGATGTAAATCCACATTTTGGTGTAAAATCTGCGGAGTTTATAGCTGATGAAGAAATAAAATAGCAGCATTTTAAGCTAGGAGTGAAGTTCTTAGATTCTGATGAGTTTAGGGCAGGAATAAAACTCTATACTAAGTGGCAAACCAATTGACTTTTACGTTAGTGAAAAGAAGAGAATGAGAACAAAGTCTAAAGAAACATGCAAGTGGAGTAATTGTTGTATGTTGCTACTCAAATCTGGGCACCAGTGAACTTGTTATTAAGCCCATGTATCTGGAACAAACTAATTGCAGTTAGGAATGAAAGACCAAGCACATGACTGCTGATTGTCTGGCTAAAAGGTACATAGATAATATTAGAACACATATTGTTAGGATCCAAGCGCAGAACAAACAACTATTGAGATATTAAATACACAACAATTTAATAGCAAACAAGTCACAAGCATGAAAGATAAACGACACACAATATTTAACGTGATTGGTTCCACCATTGAGTCTACGTCCACAGAGAGAAACCTGTTCTTTATTATGAGAGGAAAATCTTATACAAAAATACAACTTGAACCCAAGTCCAACCCTTGTATACCATCTCTCATCTCTCAAGAACTCTCTTTCACCACCCTATGTATAAGGCTACATGTCGCCTTTATATGTCTTTGTGTAGTATGTATAGGGAACATTATTTGGTCAAAACCCAAATAACAACGGAAAACCAATTCTAATTTCTAAACTTGCATAGAATAGGAAATAACTTCTAATCCTAAACTAAATAGGAAATTTCTTGGTTACTACTTCAAGTAACTAAAACCAATTAGGAAACTAGTTACTTTCATACAAGACAAGAAACCTGCCTAAAAAAAATTAAACCAATTTCATAACAAATTTTCACCTTGACGAAAATTTCTTTTAACAACTATTTGGTTTCAACTACCAAATAATATGGTACCAAACTACACATCCGAATCAATACAATTCTGATACCAAATTGATTCAATCGGCAAATGAACATGTGTAGTTACCCCGAGTCTAACCTCCAATTGACTCGTGAGAAAGTGTTTCAATTCACCGTCTTCTTTTGCAGGATTTTTTCTCACCACCACTTGTCACCCGGGATCCCCTTCTATGATCTTTAACTCTAACTATTGAGGCAACGAAGTGGTAAAATCACCATATTTCTTCCCATTCTCAGGATTGTCTCACCACATATGGTTCCCAAAATTTTACCTAAAATGAAAAACTTGTAACTGTTAGAGTCTTCTGGCGCATGAAAATTAGATCTCTTTATTTCTTTGGGACACGAGCCATACCACTCAAAAAATATAACCAAAATCTAAAATCTACCGGAATAAAATATCAACTGTTGGAGGTGTGAGAAAGTCTCCACCGATTCACGTCCAAAATCAATATTGGACTCCACCTTTTTTTTTACCTTTGAATCACCTGCCTAGATTCACCATCAAGTGTCTCTATACTTTTCGAATTTCCATCCTTCACTTTCAATGTTTCTTACCAAACTCTTAAAACAAGGATACCATCTATTAAATTGTTCAATTGGTAACAGTTACTAATCCGCTTGATCTCAATAGTTAACCAGGATCCAATCACGAACCTTGCTCTCTTGCCTGTGAGTAGTCTAGTCTCGCAACCAATAGTTAGGATCTAAGCGCGGAACAAACAACTATTGAACTATCAAGTACACAACAATTTAATGGCAAACAAGTTACAAGCATGAAAAATAAACGACACACAATATTAAACATGGTTCGGTTCCACCATTGAATCTATGTTTACGGACAGAAACCCGTTCTTTATTATGAGGGGAAAATCCTATACAAGAATATAATTTGAATCCAAAGCCAACCCTTGTGTATCATCTCTCATTTCCCAAGAACCCTCTCTCACCACCCTATGTATAAGGCTACATGTTGCCCTTGTGTGCTCTTGTGTGCCTTTGTGTAGTATGCCAACCCACTTATTTATAGGGAATATTATTTGGCCAAAATCCAAATAACAATAAGAAACCAATTCTAATTCCAAGATTTGCATAGAATAGGAAATAACTTCTAATCCTAAACTAAATAGAAAATTTCTTGGCTACTATTTCAAGTAATTAAATTAATTAGGAACTAGTTACTTCCATATAAGACAAGAAACCTGTTTAAAAGAAATTAAACTAATTTTCTAACACATATAAATACACCAATTAATGAATTGAGACAAATTTTGGTGAAAAGTACCATGCAAAGGTTGGTAGGTCCAATGCATACAGAGCTTGGGCAAAGATAGTTGCATTAATGATTAATCAAGAAATCGGATGAGTTGCAATAAACAAAGGTGTGGGAGTATTGTGCAGAATTGGAGAGATCTCATCCAAAGCACAGCCTTCAAGATTGAGTTTGCTTTTACGGAAAGTGGAAAGAGTCCAAGACTTTTGAGAATGCATTGCTACTTTTTTCTTTTTGGGGTCAAAGAGAATGTATTGCTACTCGAGACACCTA